TAACTTCAGTAATCTTGGGGGTTGATTTCTTATGCACAGCTAGCGCGAATGTTAATTTCCAGAATTCTACTTAGATACACATGGACACTGTGGATGAAGATACACATGGACACTGTGGATGAAGAAGAAGGAGCAATGTCAGAAGAAGTTCTTGATCTCCTGGACCAGAGGAGAAAGAAAAAGTTGGTAAGAAAATTTTTCACTTCATTCAATGAAAAACCTGGCTTCTGTCAAGTACTGACACATGCCATTGACACAGGAAACGCCCCTCCAGTCCAGTCTAAGCCGTATAGGTCTGACCGTGTTAAAGAAGATATCCTGGAACATCATATTAAGAACGTGTTAGATAACAAAATCATTGTGCCAAGCACTAGTCTTTACGGAAGTCCGGTAGTTCTTTGCAGAAAGAAAAACTTGTTCTACTAAATTCATGACATTAAAACTGACATCAGGCTATTTTCAGATCGCTGTGTGATCGATGTCAAAAAGACAGCTTTTATTACAAAATCAGGCGTTTATGCCTTTTTAAGAATGCTGTTTGGTTTAAGCAGAGCTATGGCTACACTTCAAAAAGCTATGGGTATAGTTTTCAGGCCAGTTTTGGGCAAAGTACAATAACAATAATTTACCTGGATGATATAATAGTCACCAGTGAGACAATAGACGAACACATTAAACATTTGCAGAAAGTTTTTACCTTGTTAAATGAGGCCGGCTTCAAGATAAACAAAGAGTTGCGATATCTAGGGTACAAAATCTCAAATAAGGGTATCGAGACTGACAATTCCAAGATTTTAGCAATTAAAAGCCACCATTCCCCAAACACAGTTAGGAAATTACTTTCCGTTTTGGACATGTGTTCTAGCGGTACAGAAATTCAGCGTTTATTTCGGAAGTGCTCTGATAACAGTATACTTGGACCATGCAGTAGTTGGCCGCTTGTATTCGGGGAAGAATCTGTTACCCCACTTTATACAGTGGACATTAAAACTACAAGAGTTTATTTGATTATAAAACACAAACTAGGGAAAGAAAATGTAGTAACCGATGCACTTTCAAGAATTAAGATTCATGAGGAGGGGAACACAGTCAAACATGCTATGCTGACCTTGAAAGTTATCGAGTCCCGTGAAACAATAATTGAGGAGTTTAGAAAGGAACCTGAATTTGAGGGTATTTACACATATCTGGAAGACCTCGAACATTTTGAACATGTAGACTTAACAGCTATTCACAATAGGGCGGCTCATTATGAAATAATTAATATACTACTGTTTTACACGAAATTAACTAAAGAAAGTCGAGAATACCAGCCAGTGATCCCAGCAAGTCTATGTTTAAATATTTTAGAGAAATTTCATGATTCGCCAATTCCAGGACATTTAGGAATCAGAAAAACTGTACAGAGGGTCCGCGAAGCGGCTGCGATATTAATTATAGCCTGACCGGGTACTTAAAAAATATAAAGACACCTTTTCCAAATGAGATAATTGGCATTGATTTGCCTGGGCTTACCCTAGAACAAAAATAAATAAAAACAGATATTTGTTAACCATTATAGATCATTTTTCGAAATGGGTTGAAGTAATCCCCCCTTAAACAAGCTTCAGCAAAAGTAGTTGCAGATTCGTTTTTAAATAACTATATTTTAAAATACAGGGTCTCACTAAAAGTAATATCAGCCAATGGCAAACAGTTTGTTAGTAGTATATTTAAAAATCTTGTCACTGGACTTGGCATATGCCATCTAAAAATGGTAGCATATAAACTGCAATCCAATATTGCAGAACACGTAAATAAGACTATTGTAAAAAATATTAGGGGATACGTTAAGAATTACCATGACTGCTGGGACAGCTGTGTCAATGAGTTAAGTTTTACCTGAGAACAGTAAAGCATGATACTACACAAAAAACCCCTGCAGAACTATTTTTAGGAAGAAAGACTTTAATGCCTTTAAACAAGCTGTTCTTTGTACAGCAAAGGCAAGAAGAATTTAAATTGAAAGATATACAGGCAATTATTAATGAAGCAATTAAAAACTCCGACCTAGCAAGGCAGAAACAAAAAGTTTATTATGATAGAAATAGATGGGACGTAAAATACACAGCTGGTCAAAAAGTCCTAAAACACTCTTTATCATCCGCTTTCAAAAACAGAGTAGCCAAGTTTGAACCCAGATTTGAAGGGCCGTATATAGTGGAAAAAATTGAACAGACCACCTTTTATTTAAAGGGGGAAAATGGCCAGCAAGTGATTGCTAATATTGATCAGCTGAAGACATATTACAATCATACTTATTTTCAAGTTTTACAAGATTTATTGCAGGATCCTGGGAAGTAAGCAAAGATTGTCAAGTCAGACGCTGAGCTGGAATCCCCCAACAGCAAAAAGAAATCAGGCCGAGAGATCGAGGAATTGCTGGCCAAGCAGATCCAACCACCGAAAGATCCAGGTTCAGGAAAAAGGAGGAAAACAAAACCCACAAAAGAACCTGCCAAAATAGTGGATTCACAAAGAAGACCAGTACCGGGAGTAAACAGAAAAAGTCAAGCTCATGATGTTTCAATAAAGCAAGTGGAACGTCAAGGGTCAGAGTCAACAAAACACAGTCTACGCTTCCTGGCCAAATCAAGGCCAATCAGGGAGTTTCAGAACAAAGAATAAAAAAGGGTAAATGATCAACCGACACAGGAGCCGTGCCAGCCAAGCAAATGAGAAGGTCAAAGCAGAGATGGAAAGATCCTCAACAACGAACGGCCCCTCAAGAAGTAAAAAGAAAACTTCAATTTCAAAACCCACAGCCATCAGAAGAAGCTGGAACTGCTGAAATATCCTAGTTTTAAAGAATTTTGTCTCATCAGGATGGAGGAATTCAGGAAAAGAAAAGATAAGTGAAAATTTCTTTGTTTGCCTATTTTACAGAGAAAGTTCAATTTATGTCATGTGGCTTTTAGTTGCTAAATGCTGTTAAAGAAAAAGTTTCAATTCGCAAGTTGTGAGAACTTAGTTGTAAATATCCTTTAAACAGAAAAAAATTTTGTATTCACAAGTTGGTGAGAATTTAGTTGTAAATATTTCTTGTTAAGAATTTGCAAGTTTGAAAAAATCGAGTGTGAATATCTTTTAGTCAGAAAGATTTCATTGAATAGTGAAATTTGGTAACTTAAAGATTTTAGGAAGAGATTGTAAATTATATATAGCAACCATAAAATTGATGTAAAGTGAATTTAAAACGTGATGTGTTAAATATATGAAAATTTTGTGTTGAAAGTAGAAATTTTAAATGTCAGTTTTGAAGTGTCTTAAATTTAATAACGTAATGATTAGTATAAGGTTAGGCTCTCCAGCTAACACGTAAAAGTTAAATTAAGCTCTCGTTTAACATATTAGGATAGTTTGGTGCGCAGGGAGTCTTTTGAGATCTAAAGAGTCAAGTTTAATAATGTTAGATGATGTTGTAAAGAAAGAAGTAGAGGGCGCTGCTTGGCAGTAGCGTAATGCATGTAAGTAGAAACGAAATGTCGTTTGATTAGGCAACATGATTTCTGTGAAGGTAGTCCACCTAACAATAGGACAGTTGTAAATATGTAAATATAACGAATAATAAATAGCATTAGAAAACTGAACCATCGGATGTTTTGTGATTGCTCTACGGGCCGCCATGGATAAATGCAGGTTCGTCACAGTGGTGCATCGGCCGGGAATCGAACCCGGGCCGCCCGCGTGGTTGCTCCTCACCTGTGAACTCTTTAAGTTCACAGATGTTTCGGGGTAGTGTGTGTTTGCTGTAACACAACATTATGATGCTCAGTACATTCAGAACAAATTTCTGGAGAGCACTGGGGAAAGAGAAGTTAAGTATGCATGACTGAAAATTTTGTGAGGGCCAAATGATGTCCATAAAAGAGCATTTGTAAGGAAAATGGAAATTTTTTATAAAAAGCAACACTAATACTGTTTCCTTCCAGATAATTTGGAAGGACCAAGACGGATAACGTACCAAAACTCAAGTTGAGGCAGATGATTGTACCAAATGAAATTGCAAATTTGTAAAAATTATTTTTTTTTAGTTTTATTCTAGATTTAGATTTTGAGTAAAGTTGGCCCTAAACAGAAAAGTTTAAAGGAAAACTATGTAATGTAAAGTGTTAGGAAGTGTTATATTTAACTTACGAAGTTTTTTGAATTTAAAATCTTAAACAAGGTCATTTTGAGACCTTATTTTGCGAGTATTTAAATTCTAGTCAGGAAAATTGTAAGGTTTATCCCAAGTTTTTAACAGCTAATTTTGAGCTTAAGACACTTTTCTATTCTTCTTAATTTCAGCTTACAATTTCCTGCCAGAACATGTTTTCAGAATCGCAGTTAAATGCAAATGATGGAAGAGCAAGTACTTAAAGTTGAAGTTCTACTGACTTTGTTAGAGAGAGCCAGAGATTCTGACCAGCGAGAGTTCGACTTTTGGCTATACTCTCTCTAGAGCTATTTCTATGCTCGGCCGTACTTTAGGCCCTTGATAGCTTCACAGTTTAATTAGCGTTAAAGGACCAACTCCTGTAGATTTGTGATAGTTTCAGCTATATCTTTTTAGTTAAGTTTTATTTCTTAGTATTCCCGAGTTCAAGTCCACGTGGAGGCTTTGCTGTAAACTCCGAGAAGGAGTCAACTGTTAATTATCATTGTAAAAAATAAAGGGTATTTAACTCTTCTTGAGTTCTGTTTGTTCTCTGTCTACTGAACAAAAGTGATTATTTGCTTACCAGTTCTCAACACTCCACACATTTGGCTGTTAATTATAGTTTGGAACATTACAGATAAACTTCATAAAAAATTATTAAACTGAGGATCAAAAGCTATTGTCATAAATACTGAATTTTATAAGGTTTTCATGCAAATGAATTTTAAGTAATCTTTGTTAAAATTTTAAAATACTTCAAAGATAAAATAAATAAATTGAAATGTTAATTCAAAATTAGTATAACAGGGGCTTTACTTACGTTATATGTGAATTCAATTCATTTTCGGTTTGCTGCTTTTCTGTTTTTAACTGCTGATATAATTTCAATTGATAAGCAAGTTCATTCTTCAAATCCTGATTATCTTTTTCCAATAGACTTATTTTCTGTTTCTTTAATCAAAAATAATAAAAAATACTTTAATTAAATAAATGTCCACAAAATAATTTAGATTTCTAAAAATCACATTATATTCTACTCATTGTGAATTTAAAAAAAGTCATACATAAATGCTCATCTTCATTTGACATGATTTTTGTAGTTTAAATCAAAAATTTTTAACTTACATTTTATTAACATAATATAATTAATCCTATACAATTTTAAATAAAAAATTTCATGCAAGCATATAATGCAGGATTATTATATAAGATTTAATGGGTTTCAAACCATTATATTTTATAAAGTATAGCAAACATTAAAAAAACACAATAAATGAGACAAAATCTTCTAAAATTTTTGTATATTGCTGGTCATAAGTTTGAGAAACCTTAGTGGCCATAAGGACAATGCAAAGTCCTCTTCTGCATGTGAACTAACCCACTGACACATTCTAGTACATAATTTACAGAATTATGAATGTCTATAAAAAATGCAATACAGAAGAAGTGTAGAAATCCGCATCGCTTGAGAAAAGAGGTTGTGCGGATTTAAGGATTTTGCGGATTTCAGGACAGAAAAGATAATATTCAGACTAAAAGTGCAAAATAAATAAGGCATATTAAGTACATTTAATTAAATTATTCTATACATTAATACAATAATTAATTATATGCATTAAATTATTATTATTACATATATAAACTGATCGAGGTTACATATATAAACCTCGATGCAGATTGGAGGGAAAAAAACTCTTGTCATGATGCCAATAATTTGGTATTTCCATTATGACTCATTATTATTCGGTAATTAGGACATCATTATCCAGTAAGTATTTTTTCTTCGATATTTCGCACTCCATGTTGCGGTTTTCGGAGCCTATAAACTAAATGTTTATATTTTGAGAAGCAACACGGACTTGAGGAGTTGGCAGATTTTTGGTATTTGACTGTACTCTAAAAATTTTTTTCATACATACATTTTTTCAGTTTGAAACACTTAACATTATTTAATACTTTTTATTACAAACTGGTTCATGCTCCCTGATGCACATTTAGACATGCTGGATAAACATAGATACTGAATGTTTTAGAGCTTGATTCTAAAGTGCCAAAATCTTTGAGATAATTAAATTTAATTACCAAAGCAACAATATTTTCTTCTTGCATCTTACATTTCTTAGCTCTTCCTAAAATTCTTCTGTTGCGTTCACTATGCACATTTTTTCTGTGCCTCTCGAATAACAACTGATTATGCAATAATAATATTTGATTCCTTAAAATAGCAATTTCATCAGGAGGTGCCTTTCCTACAATCAAAAAGACATATATTTACAATTTTAGGCTTTAAAACTGATATAATAAAATAGGAATACTTGATAAAATACAAAACATTCAATTTACAGCAAGAGTTCTATTTTACATTTAAAAAAAAAAAAATTATATAAGAAAAAATTTATATCTTGTCCTTAGGGATTTAAAGCTCCTTGAAATGTAAGACATTTCGATATGAAATCTGAATAAAAAAAGTTCCTTTTCTAACACTATTTTGGTCAGCGTTAACTAAATTGAAATTATAACATAAATCACAGAATAGTATCAACTGAAACAACAGTTAAATAATCTGCTTATTTAAAATAGAAAAGTATTAATGTACATTCTAATGCATATAATTAGAAAAATATTAATGTACATTCTAATGCATATAATTAGAAAAATCACCCAATTTTAAAATAAAATACATTCAAATTTTAATAACAAGCTACCCAAATGCCACACTTAGATTTCAACCAGATACCATTGATAATGATCCGAAAAAACACAGGACTACTTAAAATAAAATTTGATTGCATTTTTGAACTTGATAATGTAAGAACTCATTTCAAAGGAAAATGAATTGTATAAACAACTTCTTAGACAAAAAAAGGAAAACCTCCTGCAAAGATCTCTCGGCATGCAGTTGTTAGGCAACATATCTAGCTTCAGAATGAATTTCCATTCTCTACCATAAACAGATGCCTAGTCACAGCAAATTTTCTAAATGAGTCTGGTTGAATTGTATCACAATAATGCAAATAGCATTAAGCAAAAATGTTTTCTATGAAGTTGAGCAAAAATACAGGTAAAACTTTTTTAAAAGGAAAAACAAGCATACAGACAGCATGCATTACTGACAACAACACAAAAAATACCCCTTCAGAAGGCCATGGAACAATTAGATCATAACTGATCAGAAAATTAAAAAAAAAAAAAAAAAAAAAAAAAAAAGAGAGAGAGAGAGAGAGAGAAGAAGAAGCCTTTTGCCATGGTCATGAAATGAAAGCTCAGAAGATTTTAAACATGGAAATTGGATAAAAATGATATAGGAGTGAGAAATCATATATGGCTAGATCATTAACAATAAGGATTAATGCAGGAAGCAAAATTTGAATTGATTTGCATTACAAAATTTCAATTGATTTATATGGAATTTTAACCCAAAAATAAGCCAAGTGAAAGAAAGATACATACCAGACTTGTTCAGAAAAACCTTATATTCAAGAAGACAGAGAAAACAAAAAAACTGTATGGTAGAGATTTTCTGAAATGCAAATGGAAATTTTACTCAAGACAATTATAAAATCCATATTTTCTAGGATGATCTAAAATAAATTATCACAGCCAGGTGTGACAAACGACTTAGCATATCCCAAAAAACGAACATAATTAAATATGCATGTCTTTCCTAATCTTAGTTTTACAACATATTTTCCTTCACATTTAATAAATTTCATATGAAAACATAATTTTTGCTTTTCAAAACAACTGAATACATATTTTCATTCTAATAACTGCAGGTGTAACAGAATCACAATTTCTTTGTTAACAGATATAGAATCAATTATTTGGAAATAATTTCTATTCTTCATGCCACCATTCAATGGATATAAAATAAATAAATAAGTAAATGCATTCAACATATTAATGGATATAACATCAAATACAAGTTTGGAAACACTGTACAAAAGCCAATTTTCATTAAAAATCCTCATATATGGTGTAAATATAAAAAATATTATTAATATAAAAAATATTAATAATTTAGTAGCTAGAAACAGGAATTGATATTATTGATAAAAATAAATTAGTTAATATATATCTGGCTAGAATAATATTTAAGTTTGTTTGGTTTATTTTATTATGGAAAAGCCTTGAGGGTTATCAGCGTAAGAGGAGTGATGATTTCGTGGACAACTTTCTAAGGGGAACTAGCTCGTATATACGTTACATATGGGGAAAACCATGAAAATGCCCATGCAGCTTGTGGGATTTGAACCTTGGACCAAACTACCAGTGTTCAGTCATTTTACCACTTGGCCGCTGATAGGCCAATATTTCATTATTATTTTTTTTAATAATTAATAAAAGATCAGATATATAAACACTTAAAACTGACATGATTAAAAATGTTTATAAATTTTTACAAATTTATGACTTTGTTATAACTACTTTAGAATTACAGGCTTTTTGAATTCTAGTGATATTATTTCTCCCTATCTTGGAAACAGCCTTCTAATTCATGGCACTGACATGTCATAACACACATCTTCTGATCATGACAGATTGCTATACAATAATTTCATTCTCATTAACTACCATATAATCACTTGATTATGATAACAGAGTGTTAAAATGCAAAAATGCAATACAATCAATATCATGGAATAAACAACTCTATCATCTGCCATCTAAATTATATTTTCCCATGATATAAGCAAATTTCAAATTTGTATCATATACGCTTTGCATTCTTTAAAATATAATATCAATAAATACTGCTAATATGGTTGAAAGGGAGAGAATAACAGAAAAATACTTTGTTATTTATAATATTAACACACCAAAAAGCCTTCTAATGTCCATTTAAAAATACAACAGCTCATAAAACTTTGCAGAGATAACAACACAAGGGGAAAATATCATCGTAAAAATCATCATAATAGAAAAGAAAGGAAGGAGAAAATAGCACCATTCTAAAACATTATGGTAAAAAAATACAATGGTACAAAAATTTGTAATTTTAAAACATTGTCATATAAAATACCACTATGAAAATAAAACAGCTTATTTTCTGACTGGGAGGGAAAAAAAAAAAAAGTAAATTTGTGCATAATCATTTGTGAGTGCAAGAAGAAACAAGTAATATTTTTAACTCAATATTTTATATTTTTGTATTAACTAATGATTTTTTAATGAAGAAGCAAGAAGGAAACTTAAAGCATCCAAAATCTGAAAATCAGAAAAATTAATGCTATATACGAACAGTCCATGGAATTTTAAACTTAAGTAAGTTGCTAATTGCTATTTAATTAATTAATCTCTTTTACAAAGAAGTAATAGTAGATTTTCATTAAAAAATACAGTATAAAAAAGATTAGATTGTAGAAGAGGCATAAGTTTAAAATTCAATTAACTGTAGTAATATGCAATCTACCAGGTTTAGCCATTTATTTACTTATTAGATGGCATCACTAAAATTGGTTTATAAGGAATGTTTTCTCTCCTTTCAACATGCCTTCGTGGTGTAATGGTAGATTACTCAGTACGTATTCAAGAGATCCAGGTCAAATCCTGGCTAGTGCTTTTCATGTCTTCTTCTTCAAATAAACCTAATGACTCATTAGTCATTAATGCATTGGCACCCAAACTAAAAGGTGGTGGACAATAATTCATCAGCACCAGGATTTGACGACTGGGTCCCTCAATCCCCAGTCACCCTTTAAAATGGGGAGTATATATGGTATTTTCTCCCCCAACATGTCTTCATGGTAAAATGGTAGTACATTCAGCATATATTCAAGAGGTCCAGGCTTGACTCCAATAAGGGCACTGCCCATTTTTCATGTCTTCTTCCAAAAAAAAAAAAAAAAAAAAAAAAAAAAAAAAAAAAAAAAAAAAAAGCTTCTATAGGTTAATGTATTAATAACTTCATTTTTTCTGCCATTTTATTGCATGTTCGATTATGAAATCTATTGAATTTTTTATTTTATGAAGCTATGATTATTGAATTAGCAGATCTCCATAGTAGTTTAGCACAACAGTTTACTTATTTTCTTAATTAATCTTTTCCCTCCCTCCAATTAAAGGTACTGAAATTAAGAGATTTGTCTTAGAACCCATGGCCTCTTAAACTAAAAGAAATATAGTATTAAAAAATGAAAAGCTGAAACAAAATTACATAGTTGAGCTTTGATGTCTAACATTTAGAAGCATACTTTAAAACACATAAAACACAATTCCCGAGACTCAGAGGATTACATTAATATCAAATCATAAGAACTTCCTTACAAGAGCAGCATTTTATTCAAATATTAGTGATGATAATGTATGAACTATCACAGCTATATGTAGAAGATATTCACATTCCACTGATAGATAATGAAGGAAACGAAGACATTAAAATATCTCAGTAAAATTTTCATAATTTGAAAAATGCATTTTCCAAAACATGTACTTTTCATATTTAAACTGTCCATGCAATGTTTCTTAGACCTATCACTGTTTATGCTTTATAACTGTTATAAATTGAATAAACATGGTAATTCAGAAGGAATCATCTAATTTCAAATTTTTAGCCATTAGAAAATTAACACTATCCATGAATAAAAAGGAAAAGTATAAATTTTATTTACAAATGCTTGATATAACCTCCTTTAGTTTTATGTGTAATGTCAAGGCAATATAAAAATTCCTGCCAAATGCATTTATGCCAATAGGTGTTTTTTTTTTTTTAAACATCAACAATGTGTTTTTTAAGTTTATTTATGTTTGTAGATTTGAATTGACCAAACACCTGACTTTTCTCATCTCCCCAAAGGAGGATGAAACAATATATAATATCTGAAACCTGGATGGCCAACTATTTAGAACTAAACCATATCATCCCTTAAGTGGCCAACAAAAACATTTCAATTACAGCAAAGCAATTTCAAGATTTTACTTACTTGAAATTCAAGTTTGCATTATTTTCATTTCCATTAAAAACGAACATAGTAATGCACTAGAAAATCTATAAATGGACCTAATTTCCAATGTGATATAAATGTTATTCAAACATTTGAAAATGCATATTCTGTTAAATTTTATTCATACTTGTTAAAAAATAAACAAGCTTTGCTATGAAGACTAATAATAATCACTTTGGGAATACACTTTTATGTGAAAAACATTTTTTCACAATTGAAAATTAACAAGAAAGAATCAGATTGAATAATGAGCATTTACAATTTGTGATAATATTTTCTTTACAGCTAGAAACTTTGTCAGAATGGGAAAGCCATTAAGAGTCAAGCCATAATAAGAAATAAAGAAGTTTACAATTATTTACATATGTATTTATATTTATGCATCCAAGAAAAATTTAATAAGTGAGAGATGTTATGTTGCCATTAATTATTCTTAAGTTTTGTCCCATTTGATAAATGCTCTCTCAATACTCAGAATAATTAAATAAAAGTTTCCATAACCTATTTCCTTTTATTTAAATTTAATGACTAATTAAACACCTTAAATTTATTCAAAAAATGACAAGCTAAGAGTTTTATATATAGCTGTTTATGCTAAGAGTTTAATATATAGCCGTTTATCTACATGTTTAATATATAACAAAAATGTCTAACAGATAACAAATTTTTCATTACGGATAGAAAATAAGATATAAATAAAGAGAAAGAGTTTTTCCATTTGTGATATTATTACTAATGCTATTAATTAGTGATATTATTACTAACGTTTATGCATGCTTTGATAAATATTTAGTGAGCAAAATTTTAAATTAACTTAATATATGTTTTGTTACTAACAGTTTCCATTTTAGGAAAAAAAATGCCCTTCTGTTGTTTTTAGACCATGCATTTGCCCCGCATGCAGTACAAGTTTGAGAACACTGCCTTAAAGAACACAAAGTAATATCTGATGACCTAGGTGACCAGCTGTTTAAAACCAAATCCTCTGGTCTACTACATCTGACTGATATTGTGCAAACGACAACAGGCAAAAAAGCTCTCTGCTCTTTAGATATTATTTTCCCTTTTTTGTCCGAAAAAAAAAAAATCAATGACAAACCAGGCTTTATCTGTTTTTTATATATTAATGCTCAGAGATTTTTTTTTCTTTGCATTCACGTAATACTCATTATTTTATTCTGTTGATCTTTTAAACAGTAGAAATTTGAAACCAGATAATTCCTTCCAAATTACATTGTGTATTTTATTCAAAAATATACATATTTAGTGCTTTCAAAAATTTTTACAAACACATATTACATTAGAAATGCATTAAAAACACAAGAAAGTAATGTAAAAAATTTTTGCAAGCAATTTAAGATTCACAAGAGATGCTGGTATCATGTCATTTTAAAATGTATTAAAATTATGCATACTAAATGATTACATTGGCATTAACTACCAAACTGCTTTAAAATGTAAAATCTTATAACGTGAAAAATTATATTTACCACCAAAATGAGTCCAGTCAGTATTTATTGTTGAAGTGATGGGTATAGAATTTAAATGGCTGAGATATGTCACACTACCCAGTTGAATATAATGATCCAGTAATCCTGGTGGTGACAAAGTATTAAGAAAGGAATTTCTGTTACAATAATTAGATGAAAAATCTCCAGGTTTATTTGCATTAGATAAAAAATTTAGAGCCATCGGTATTAAATCATTGTAGGTAGCAATTCTGTCCTTGGATATTACTGAACTACTTTCATTTAGGGAAACGTATGTACTTGTTGCATCCTCATTACAGCTAGAAGGCTGGGTAGCATCTGATTTTGAACACTCATTACCAGTCAAAGCAATAGATGGAGATGGCAGTACTGTTGGACAAAAGTTAGCTGGACAAGACCTAGATCGATACGTTTTTCGCCTGATGACCTGAGAAGGAATATCTGGAGGTGGACCACAATGACTAAAATAGCGATACCGACTAAAAGTAGGTACAAAAGCATCCATATCAATGTCTTGTAAACTAGGCATTTCATCATTATCTTCAGAAGTATTGCTCTTAGTCAAACTGTTTGGCCTTGTTGAACTTGAAGTTTCTGTTTTATGTAAATTATCTGGTTCATCTGTCAAATTTTGGGTAGTACAACAAAAAGGTGTATTTTGTCTTGCTTCTACATCATTGGATTTCTCTGGAGAATTTTGATTTGACGTTAAATCACAAACTTCCTTATCAAGATCTAAAAGGAAATACATTAATCATCATATTACATTCACTGTAATTCAAAAAAAAAAAAATAAAAGGAAAAAGGATTTACTCCAAACAAAAATATATTTTAATAAAATTGAGAAAAATTAATATTTTATATTTCTACACATTTAGTGAGAAATTTTTTTTAAATATTTCTTTAATATTTTGCTTCATACATTTCTTTAAAAAGATCTTGTTACTAATCATGCACACTGAATGTATTAGACACCATTTTGATCTGATAAATTTTTTTTAGATAAAAAGAACAACATATTTAAGTACTTTTTAACAAGGCTATAATTATTCATTTCGATAATGGACACATAACCACAACATAGATGGGTCCTTCTATTTCTGTGAAAGGGCAAAAATTCTACAGTGTTAACAAAGGCATCGAGGGTCTAACACAGGAATACCCTTGCTGGACATTTCAGTTTCTATTGCAGCTGCCCAAAATTTACCAATGATTTGGATTCAGCATAGATTTTCAATCTTGTACAGATTTTATAAATAGCAGTGATGATATGGACAAAATTTCTAAATGTAGCATGTACAGCATGAAAATATATTGTACAAATACACTTTAAAATTGATTAAAAATTTGAAAATTATTATTCATATCTAATTTACCATTATCCTAGGTCCATGATCTCCATATACTATTTACATTGTATACACTATGGAGACTACCACGTACTCATAGTGTATAAAATGTAAATAATATGCTAACCATGGACCTATGTGTAGATAAATTTATCAATTCATGCATTTACTTATTATTTTATTAATTGTAAGTTATTTATTGACATTATTGCTTTAGTATTGTATTTAGATTATGTTATTAATTTTCCCCAGGTCTACGTATGGCTTTTTGTCCAGGGACTATACTGCCCGAAATATGTAATCCTTGGAAAGCGTGTAATATTACGAATTTCATATACCTGTAAATAATTTTAATGAAATTAAAGGTAAATTTTAGTATTTTTTGCATACGTAGAATGAAATGCCTCAAAAGGTGAAGCATAATCAGAAAATATGGGTACAGAGGTAGATCCATTTAATATCGAGGTAAATGGATATCTCATGAGTGCCAAAGCTGGTGATGGTTTTGGCAACTATTTTTTTGTCACCAATGTTGTTATGTGTCATTGTTGCCAATTCAATGCGTAATTGTAACTGTATATTTGCGTGGGGGGAAAAAACTTTTTCTCCCCTTTTCTACTGCTATACCCCAAAAGCCTAAACAAAATGGAAAAAAAAAAAAAAAAAACAATGTTCTCAAATAAAATCTTTGGTTTGCAGATCATGGCTCAAAGTTTCAAAAAATGGCAACATTTTGATATTTATTATCAATTTTCACAATTTTTATATGAAAACATTTTTATTTCCTTTTGCATAGCTAGGCAAAAGGCAACTATTCCAGGGTATTTTGATAAAAAAATGACAAAATGTGTTTTTTGTCCCATCCTGCTGTGTATGCCTTCCAGCAATTTTGAGAAACCGAAGGTACTAGAAATTTCTATGACCGACACGATAAACCATATATAACATCAGTTTTCAATTTAGCTCAGAGTATTGAGAGTTCAAAGAATTGAGAGATCACCCTGCAAGCTTTCACTTTTTGGTGTGCTTTTGCATTGCCTCATGTTCAATGTTTTTAACAGTTTGAACTACTGATTGTGTTCTGTCATACTGAGAACAGCTGTACGAGCACTTTTGTGTGAAAAGTTCCAGAACTGTGAAGTGTTTTTAGAAAATAAACTTCATGAAACTTTTGTCAGTTCAGGATGTTGAAGATGATGTGTTCAAATACACTTAACATAGCAGCTTTTCTTAGCTACATTCCTTGAGTCCCTTCCGGCCCACACAGGCGTTGCAAGAATGGCACCACTTCTGCACGTCAGCCCTTGCTTTACTTGAGTAGAAGTGTGCTCGAACTATATGCAAAGACATCATTATTATTCTGAAGTGGCCTCCTATCAGACTGCTATGCAGTTCAATAAGGACAACTGGGATCTTGGAAGTACCAGCCACCACAAAATGCCTTTGCATGATCCAATTCGAACTTTCAGTACAAGACGTCATTTCAAATATGAAGTGAATCCTGGGGAACCCATACTGCTTTGTCACAGTATTATAGATCGAAATGTCCTGCAATATAGTTTTCCTATTTGAAGACAACAACTATGGGTTTAATGTCACCATCTTCCAATTGCTTTTTTCTTAACTTTGTCACTCCAGTTTGGTTAAATGATATTAAATCTGTAACTTAATGTACAACAGGATTAACCAGTTCACATTTTGCTCTGAGCCTGGAATATTATTGGCAGCTTTCTGGGCAGGGTCTTCTAAATACGACATCAGCATTTCTGTGTGACAATACTTTCTGATGACGGATAATCATGTTATAACCCTGGAGTCTCTATATCCATCTGGCTATTTCGCCTTCAGGATTTTTTACATTTAATAGCCAGGTCAACAATGCATGATCTGAGTAGAGAAGGAGTTGGAAATGTTCTATGGCTTTAACTATGGCCAGCAACTCTTTCCTGGTGACACAGTTAATTCCCGTTTGACTTAGACAGACTTTTGCTCCAGTATCCTGCAACCTGCTTTTGACTATTTAATTCTTTGGATAAAAGAGCATAGACATTCTAACTGTTCACATCAAGAATAAATTGTTTGCAAGTTGAGGATATGTCAGGATTATTGCAGATGTGAAAGTTTACTTCAGTTTATAAAATGAATCTCACATTCTTTCGTCCACAGCCAGTCTGTGAAAAGGTTTTATAATTGAAGAACGTACTTCAGAAATCTCCTCTAGTAGGTGATTGACATTTTTGGTGCATTTCCAATCTTAAACTGGCAACATTCTTCTGGATTGGCAAACACACTTTAAGCAGAGATGACATGTTTGGTAAGACACTTCCTGTCTCAATAGTTTACATTTGGTCTGAATAGTTTATATTACATACTTAACTTTAGATTGGCTTCCTTCAGTTTTTGAAGCATCTCAGTATTTTCTAAATGCTCATCATTTTCCTGACATTGATGATGTCATCGAGATATACCAGTAGGCTTCATGAGGAAAATCTCTCAGCACAGTCTCCATGAAGTGTTTGAACATTGGCGGTGCATTATATAATCCAAATGGTACCACCCTAAACTGTCCAAGTCCTTGTTCGGTAGTAAATAGCATATTTTCTTGGTCATCAGGCTGTATCTCTACCTTCCAATATCCCCTCTTTAAATTAAGCATTGACAACCACTTGCTTCCAGAAAGAGTGTCCAGAATGTCGTCAACTCTAGGAAGAGGATAGCTGTCTTTCTTTGTAATCTTGTTCAACTAACCATAGTGAACCCAAAATCTAGTCGAATCATCTTTCTGACAAAGAGGATGGAACAGGCCCAAAGATTCAATGAAGGTTCAATAACGTTGCTTTCTTGCAAGTCCTTTTGAAGTTTTTCCACCACTTCTAGTTTAGCAATTGGTAGACATATTAGATGTTGTTTCACTGGCGGATTACCTCACACATAACTTTCACTCTGTGCCAAACTCTTTTGACCTACATCAGAAGATGTACGGGAGAAAACATCTTAATTCTTGAATGACCCGTTCTGCAGCACTCCTCTCTTTGTTGCTTAGTTCTGCATTCTACAATAATGTCAATATTAAGTTCTCCGAAGACACAGAGACTGGAGGACTGTATATGGACTGGAGGACATTGAAGTATATGCTGCAGCTACTTAACCTTTCCTAGTGACTTTTGTATTATCACTTACATTGGTACTCTCACTAGAATGATGATCCTCGACAGGTTGATGAGTGCCAAGGCTACTAATATTCCTTTTGGGCTCATACAATTCTTACATTCCATCATCCTATATCTGAAATTTGTTTTCAGCTATGGATTCAAGAAATAAAAATTCTGTTCTTGCTGGTATTACGATATTGTGTTGAGCTATTATTTGGTAGATGGATTTAACACCTTTACCTTCAATTCCAAATAGGATTATGTACTCAGAGGCAGTTCATTATTTCTAAAATCCAAGTAAGATCTGTATTTCTTCATAAAGTGTAAGTTGAGTATGCACGTAATATATACGACATATACCACGTGATGGTAGGTGGCACTTCCGAACTAAATGACAACATTCAACTTTCCCTCGAAGGCAATTTTATCACCGGACACACTGTGGGGGGCAACACAGAGTGGCGTCTTGATGAATTTACCTTCCACTTGTTGAGTCAGACCTTTTTAGATGATGGCAACATTGGCTCCTATACTGATGCCATATTGTAAGAACTCATTTTTATGTTCCATGATGAAGAGCCTACTAATGTCACAACTCATTGCAGAAATCTGAAGCATTTTCAAATGTGGCTTCTCAATAGCTGGCAACTTCTGCACCATAAAACGGCCACTAATTTTTTTCTTGCATACTTGCTACACAGTGGTCTTATTTTCTTTGCTTTGGGGTGTTCTGCAGTTGCTTTGTACATGGCTCTCATCACCGCAGTTTCAGTAGTTTAGGTTCAGTTTGTTGCCAGTCCTATTCTGTCTCAAGGCATTTACTTATCTGGTTAAATCACCTGTCTTAATTTCCATGTTATGGGGTGTTCTGCAGTTCCTTCATATGTTGCCTACAGCACCACAGTTCAAGCGCGTTAGAATCGGTTTGCTGCCACTTCTGTTCCATGTCAAGGCATTAACTTGCTTGGTTAAATCATTTATACGAGCCATCAGCTGATCCATTGGCTCCTGTACTTGAGCAGCTCTAACTGGGTATTGGTCTTTGCGAGTTGCTTGCTTGGCTGCCTCAAATTTCATGCCATACACTAAAGCGTTTTTTAAATCTTTGACATCACCATTCTCAGGTTGGTCTTGCAGAGCGATGCCTGACCTGCAAGATGACTTCTAATTAGTCTGCCCCCTCCTCTTAGTTGGGAGCAGTCTTAGCTTCCATGTCTTGTGGTATTCTGCAGTT